ATGTCATGGCGAAAGCAGTTACAGCAGAGCTCATCCTGGGCTGCCAGGATCTCGCAAATGTCATTGTCAAAGACTCTTGTTCCCAAACAGGTCAATCGTGTTGTCGCAAGGATGGAGTGTGAGAAGCATTGCAGAGGATGGGCACAGTGAGAGTGCATGGCAGCCCAGCCAAGCAGCAGCGGGGGCGGCATTCTAGGGCTAGATAGGGGGCCAGTCTCCGGCACTGGACAGGAAGACAGGTAATGGGATTAAGTGGTGAAGCTGGGAAACCTAGACAACTGGATTGCATAGGCTTCACGAAACGCAGGACCATTCCTGGCCACCAGTTCATCTAGCCATGAACTTCCAAGGTTGCTCACTAGGTCCCCAAGTAGACGTCTACATTCAGTTTCTGAGCCGGCCTTATAACAAATTCTACACTCCCAGAAAGGGACCTGCCCCAGCCTGTCCTACAGTACAACACCAGCGGCCTCTGCGGACTGCTGTACACGGGCTATATATGGCCCTATCTAAAAAAATGACAACAACAACAACAACAAAATCAATATACAACAAATGACCAGGTGTTTGACCCAGTACCCAACATATGTAAATTCCACCCACTATAGAGGCTATCAGCACAATCTTTGCTCAGATTGGTGGCACCACAGAAACCCACTTATTAACTGGCTTGTGTGCCTGCTGTTGACTCAGGCCTCCGCGGCATGGATGTTGGCATGATACATAGCAACCAAGATAAGGGGCTGCGGCAGCTTCCACCCAGCCTATCGCCAAGCTGGTCTCCCCTTATCGCAGCCTATGCTTGCACTATATGGCCCGGTATCACTCTCTAATTGTCTCATCTGCGTAAGCTTTATCTCCCCGAGGACAATTTTCACTCTTCAAAGGCAGGACACGGGAGCGTGGCACACCACGGCCTCACAGATGAGGGGACCATGGAGAGGACTTTGTGGATCCGGCTGAACCGGGGTTCCCAAAAGAAGAATGAAGCATTGTTGTGCTAGGCACGTGGGAGGTACACGGAGAATAAAGCGTGTCATTGGGGGTGTCCTTCAGGGCTGGGCATTGGTGCTGAGCTGGCCTACCACCTGCTTGCTCTGCAAATCAACTTTCCTTTTCTGGAGTACCTATCACTGAGGCTGAGAGAGCCTTATCACGGGACTATCTGTTATCCGGTACACACAGTACAGTTTCTGTCTCAGTGACTTCAGGATAGATGTGACTGTACCTCGTGCAAGGATGCTTTGAAGCATTTGAGTTTTATTTGTATCCAATGACTAGGGGGTTACGTGTCTTCCGGCAACTCATTATGTTGTGAGCTCTGTAGTAGGCAGGCTCATTTGCATAAAGTAAATGCTATGCACTGTTCCTTCAGGCAAAGATACGTTTTCAATATGGTGGCATTATAAACAACATGGCTAGGAACACCGGAGCTTACTCAAGGAACAGAGTTAAGTTGTCTGATACACCACTTGTCACCTGTCTGTCATACCACCTAAACCACCAGCACAATCTTATTTCAAAAGCTTGAGTTGAGCACTCGCTACACACACACACACACACACACACACACACACACACACCTGGTAACTAACTCTGGCCTATTCATGTTTGGTTCCTGCCTCAGCCTGTCGTTAGTGGTGTGAAATTGGGCAAAGTATTTGACCATCAAAACCTCATATTCTAAAAACGAGGATAAAAATCTCTTTTAGGGGCTAGTGAGACAGCTCTGACGGTAAAGGTATTTTACTTGTTGCCAAGCGTGACAACCCAAGTTCCATCCCCAGGACCCATATGGGAGGAGAGAACCTACTTCAGCAAGTTGTCCTCGATACTCACTCAAGTGCCCCCAAACACTAAATAAACATACATGAAAACAAATAAATAAATAAAAACATACCTTATAGAATTTTTGTTTAAGTAAACGAATTGGAGTTAGAGGTGGCTCAGCATGCTGAGCACTTGGTGCTCTTCTAGAGGATCAGTGTTCAGTGCCCACTCAATGGCGCAGTCTGTAATCCCAGTTTCTGTGGACCCAGTGCCCTCTTCTGACCTCCTGACAGAGCACATGACAGACAGGTATGCAAACACAACACTCATACACACAAAAATAAAGACTTTTTTTTTTCATTTTTCGAGACAGGGTTTCTCTGTAGCTTTGGAGCCTGTCCTGGAACTTGCTCTTGTAGATCAGGCTGGCCTCGAACTCAGAGATCCACCTGCCTCTGCCTCCCAGTGCTAGGATTAAAGGCATGCACTAATATCGCACAGCTAAAAAATAAATAAATCTTAACACATGTAGACGCTCAGGATTAGTCCCTAGCTCATAAAATGTACTTCAGTTTCTTAGCAAAATACTTCTGTCCTTCAGAAGTCAATCCATTCATTAGAAGGTCACACTGAACCATAGATAGGGGCCCAGTTTCCCATCAGAATGAGGACTGGTAAACATACCAATCTAGAGGGCACAGCACGGCAGAACTCCCAGCCCCCTCCCCCCCCAACACTTCAAGGGGCTCCTTGCAGGCCTGGAAAAGACCCACATTCATTCAGACAATGACCCTGAACTCATGCTCACTGCTGGGGTCAGGCTGGGTCAAAAGGCTTCAGCAAATATACTTACTTTAGGAATTGTACAAAAATCTTGTTAAACCAGATCTCAGAGATTCTCAAAAGGTTTTCCTCAAGGACACAAGATCAGGTACAAACACAGAGCAGCCTTCACTGACCGGACCCTGCATAGCCTGGGGAACTGCAAGTGGACATGCCACAGACCCTGCATGGCCTGGGGAACTACGAGTGGACTGGCCACGGACCCTGCATAGCCCGAGGAACTACAAGTGGACATGCCACGGACCCTGCATAGCCCGAGGAACTACAAGTGGACTGGCCACGGCTCACTTCTTAGAGTTGTCTCCTCCCTCAGGTTCTGAGTCCACTTCTTGATTCTTCCAATGGCTTGGGCGCTCTCCCCGCACTCCCAGATAAAGAACTCACACTAGCACCCCACCTTTCGTGAACCTCAGAAGTGCTGGTCTAGAACATAGATGATTCCAGGGACAAATAAACAAGGTCTCTCTGCCAATGCTCAGTCCCACCTCTACCTCCAGGGACGCTGCCACCAAAACCAAGGTGCAGGTTCAACCTCCTGGCACTGGCTTTGAATCTTCTCTTCCCTGACCATCATGCCGACCCCCAAGGCCATTGACTATGTCTCCCAGACACCCCAACCTGTGCTGATGAACTAACATGGGCCTGAAGATTCTGTGCACACCCCACCCCTCCAAAACTTCCATAACCTCCACCATAGCAACAGAAGGAAACTACATTTCAGGGGCCCACATGCAAGGCCCTCTGGGATCTAGCCTCACTCAACTGTCATGAGACTATTTCCTGTCATTGGAAGGTTCCTTCCTAGATGGAGCTTGGTAAGACTCAGGAAGCAGGTGGATACAAAGGGTTCAGGAAGTTACCTAAACTTAGGAAGACCAGGAAGCCACAAATGCAAAAGGCCCCTCCCCTAAGGCTATAGGAGCTGCTGGCATGTTGGGCAGGGAGCTGTAGGATTGCAGCTTTTCTAAGTGGTCACCTATGCTGGGATGGGCTTTGCTGGCATGAAGCTGTCTTTGAGTCACCCATGCTCCTGGAAGTGACCCTAATAAACCCATTTGCTCACCAGGCCGGACTTCAGTGAGGTGGTTTCTTTGGTCTGTGTTGGGGCCTAAGTAGATGGATGTTTGTCTACTTCTCCCCAGAAAGTCAAATAACACTATCTTTCCAATATCAGTCTCCATCAGTGTAATAAAAACTTCTCTAGCCGGGCGGTGGTGGCACACGCCTGTAATCCCAGTACTTAGGAGGCAGAGGCAGGCGGATCTCTGGGAGTTCAAGGCCAGCCTGGTCTACAAGAGCTAGTTCCAGGATGGGCACCAAAGCTACAGAGAAACCCTGTCTTGAAAAACCAAAAACCAAAAACAAACAAACAAACAAACAAAAAACCTCTCGCTTAGTGGCATCATAAAAGAGATTATCCATACAGAGGATCAAACAACAGCTTCTTATTGCCGCCTTCAGGGCTAGAGAGACGACAGATGCCTCAGCAGTTCAGAGCACTGGCCACTAGTCAGGACCTGGATTCGATTCCCAGCACCACATGGCAGCTCCCAACCATCTGTAAATCCAGTTCCAGGGGATCTGACGCCCTCTTCTGGCCTCTGCGGGCAGACACACGTGTGGTGTATAGATATACATGCAGGCCTAACACTCATACACATAAAAATATTTTTAAGAATACTAGGCAGAGTGAAGGTGGTACACACCTTTAATCCCAGCACTTGGGAGGTAGAGGTAGGTGGATCTCTGTGAATTTGAGGGCAGACTGGTCTACAGAGTGAATTCAGGATAGCCAGAACTGTTTCACAGAAAAACCAGACACACACACACAAATACACACATACACACACACACACATACAAAACTGGGATATATACGATGGCTCTTCACATTTTTTTCCGGTTTGCTTGAACTTATAGCACTTTCTCGTAGAGCTCATAAAACAATCTAAACACTGTGAATGGAACTAGGTACAGGCTGGACAGAGAGTGGCTTCCATAGCCTACAGCTGTGCCCATCACCCCATGGTTGTCACGGCTAACCACCAGCACGGTGCGCTATCTATGTGGAACTGGGAAACCCAAACTGAGCCAAGAAGACTTGCTCAACACATGAGCAGAAGAAAAACAATGGCTGTCCGCAGGCTGACAAAGTAGAGTTCTGACCCCAGCTGTCCAAGCTGTTGGATGGCCATCCCATTCCCACAAGCGGCCTTCCACTCAGACCCTGGGTGTTTGCGTCGGCCTGCGTTGACTTCTAAGGGTGAAACCAAGCTCTTGACTGAGACTAGTTTTCTGTGTCCCTGAACAAAGCCAACCAAGTGGACTCCCAGTCCAGGCATTCTTGGAGTGATCACCCCCCCCACCCCCCCCACCCCCACACAGTACCTGTCCCATCCGGAGTTGACCTCACAAAGGTGGGCAGCATTTTCACAGCTGCAGTAGGGTGCGTGGTGGCTCCTAGTCCTTTCTCCATCTCCTTCCGGAACCGCCTAGAAATCTCCAGAAGGGTCTCATCTGAGAGACGCATGTGGTACAGATATTGGTCAACCTGGAGCGGGGACAATAGATACCAATGGGTTAAATGAACTATAGTATAGTCATAAATAGTATAGTATTGCATGTCATGAGATATCACTCAGCCTTTCAAAAACAAACAAACTTAGGCTTGTAACTCAAGCATTCAGGAGCTGAGGCGGAGGAAGGAGAATTGCAGTTCCAAGGTAGCCTGAACAACACACTAAAGCCGTGTGTGTATGTGTGTGTGTGTGTGTGTGTGTGTGTGTATGCGTGTTCTCTGGAGCTGGCGGTTGAACTCCAGCTAAAAACATGTGATGAAGCACTTCCTGGCATATACAAAACGCCAGCTGAATACCAGCACTGCAAGAAACAAGGCAACGCAACAAAACCTAGTAGGCCTGGTGGGTCTCCAAATTCTAACACTGGCCTCACCTCACATGACCAGTCCTGCCAATCCGATCACCCCTCACCCCAGGGCTAGCAGCCATCACCTCCTCCCTGGTTTTTACACAATCCCCAGTTCTATTTTTAACCTTTCCATCAGTTTTCCAGCCCCCACGTAGACGCTTCTGTTCCTGTGTTTAGTTTCTGCTAGGGGTTTCCCACTGTGGTGGTTTAGATAAGAATGGCCCCCATAGGGTCAAATATTGGAATGTTTAGTCACAGGGAGTGGAGCTGCTTCAAAAGATCAGAAGGATTATAAAGTGTAGCCTTGTTGGAGTAGGTGAGGTCTTATTGGAGGAAGTCTGTCACTGGGGGTGGATGAGCTGAGGTTTCAAAAGTCCATATCAGGACCAGTGTCTCTCCTCTCCCCGGCTCGCCCTCTTCCCCCTACCCCTCTTATCAGGGTGGAGCTCTCAGTGACTACTCCAGTGCAATGCCTGTCTGATTTGACCACAATGATAATGGACTAAACCTCTGAAATTGTAAGCAAGCCCCCAGCTAAAGGCTTCCTTTCGTAAGAATTTCCTTGGTCATGGTGTCTCTTCTGAACAATAGAACCATGACTAAGAAAGCCATCAAACATCCTAAGCCCCACATAAGCTAGCGGCTGTCCACTTCCCCATCATAGGGCGTGTCTCTGCTCTTCGTCCACATTCCATCTGTGCAGTAAATCCAAGCTGTCCTCCGCTGCATTGAGGATCCTGAAACTACATGCATATCCCATCCTCTCCGCCAGCCCTAACCCGTCTCCTCCAGAGCCTGCACTGGCCCTCCAGAACACAACACTCAGACCTCCCAGCTATTCCAAGGACTTGAGCTTTTTCTTGCCCCACACCTAACCCATACTTTGGAAATAATGCTCCTGGTCTTCCAATTTAGTTACACCTTGATTAACCCACCCAACAGGCATTTCACCCTATCTTCCTGAACACCATAGCTAGAAGGCACCATGCTGAAGGGCACTAGTGATTTACTCTTGTGATGGGGGCAGCCTAGGGGCTAACTTCCAATGACTAGATAACCCAAGAATCCTGACACAGGGCGGTGCATCCTTCTCCAGAAGGCACCGCCTCAAATGTGAAACATGGCAGAATTAGAGGCCCCTACTTTACTGTTTCCAAGAGAGGAGAGAACACCCTCTCTCCACCGTTTGCCAGGGAGGTAGACAAAATCCCACATGGCAGATCTGAGTCCTTGTGATGGGCCTCTCGGTCGCTTCCGAAGTGTGAAGTTGTGTCTACAAAAGAGCAAATCCACAGCAATCTCTCTTGGCTTATCTTCAAACTTCCTGAGATTTTATTTTATTGTGTGTGTGTGTGTGTGTGTGCATATGTGTGTGTGTGTGTGTGTGTGCGTGTGTGTGTGTGTGAGAGAGAGAGAGAGAGAGAGAGAGAGAGAGAGAGAGAGAGAGAGAGAAGGACACCATGCAATTTGGGGACAGAGCTCAGGTCCTCCTGCTCCTAAGCTAAGTACTTTACCAACTGAGCCAGGCTCAGCCCCACCTTCGGGGCTTTAATTGCTAATTGTTCTCATTCTTAACTCCAAGAATGAGTTAAAAGGCTGCCCTTTCTTAGAGGCCTCTTACCCTTTGTTCAGGAGATCTTATCACCTTCCAGTAGCAGACAAAAATGATAATGGCACAGTGGCCACTAGCCGAGGGTAAACATTTCCAGGCTGCCTACTAACCTAAGGCCCCTCCTGACCTGATCACTGTTGTCTTTGAAAGAACTTCTCCAGACCTGTGTTATAGATCCTAACACCATAGCTTCCTAAATATGCCACGGGTGCCCATTCCTCCCTCCGTGGGTGCACTGTACTGGATGAACGGCAGCCAAGGGCCAACTCCAGAAGTGAAAGCAGTTTCCAGAACCCTTTCATTTGTCCCCAGGAGGACACAAGCCGAGTCAGGGAAGATCTCTTTCGGGGGAGGGACAAGTTTTTACTTTCACACAGTAGAGGGACACCAACCAAAACACAAGTACTCCTAGGAAAGGGAGCTCTAGGGCAGCTAACGTAAAAGTGGAGTGAATGTGTGTGTTTGATCACTGCATTTGCCCAACTTCAGGCTGAACGCTTTCAAACATGTAGCTACTTCCCCCAGTTCCCCAGAGGGTAGAGCCCCTTCACCCCAGTCTTTAATCACAGCTAAATGGGTCTCGGCTAACTCCTGCAGGGTCTCCAAATGGCCTCTCGGGATAAGGGTTTCCAGTCTGGGCTGCAATCGGGCATCACAGGAGGCGCTTGCAGAGCCTCTTCTGTGTTGAGGGAGTTGTATTTCAGTTGTGTGTTTATTTTTTCCTTTTTTTTAAGATTTATTTATTTATTATGTACACAGTGTACAGCCTCCATACCTGCAAGCCAGAAGAAGGCACCAGATCTCATTACAGATGGTTGTGAGCCATCATGTGGTTGCTGGGAATTGAACTCAGGACCTCTGGAAGAACAGTCAGTGCTCCTAACCTCTGAGCCATCTCTCCAGCCCTGTTTATTTTTTCTTATTGATCTTGTGTTTGTTTTGATTTTGATTTTCTGGGGAAGGGTAGAGAGAGAACAAGCTGGGTAGGTAGGGAGTTGGAGAGGATCTGGGAGGATCTGAGGAATGGGAAAAGACATAATCAAAATGAATAAACATCAATGGTATTTTGATTGATATGAAAAAATTAATAGAAAATAATACTAAGCCCTAAGTGCAGGTGGTCAGGCCTGCGACCCCTGATCTTGGGAGGTGTAGGGAGGACAAACAAGAGTTCAAGGTCACCCTTGGCTACACTGAACATTTGAGGATGGCCTAGACTCTATCTAAACAGGCTGACCAAATGGGCAACGCTGGGGTTGAGGAGCCTGTGCCTCAACCCTCCCTGGAACAGGGTTCCACGGCGTTAACAATTTGATCAGACCTGGCCAGGTTCCTGGAGTCTTGTTGCCTTAAGTCAGTCATTTTCTTCTACTCTGCCAAGTCTTTCAGGCAAGTGAAGCAAGCCCGTGAGCCTAGTACTCAAACAGGAAGATTGCAGCAAACTGAAAGCTAGCCCCAGCTACAGAGTAAGTTCTAGGCCAGCCTGGGCTATAGAGTGAGAATTTGCTTTAAAAAAAAAAAAAAAGAGCAGGTAATGGAGCTAGGGAAAACTCAGATAGCAAAGTTGCCTTAAAAACATAAGGATCTGAATTCCACCCCAAGAACTCATATTTTAAAAAGGGGAAGGCCTTCCCTGTAGGTCTCTATCTGAATGAGAAGCGGAAAACAGACTGGGGAGTCATAGGCAGACCTAAGCAGAAAGCTGACTGGGGTCAGAGAAGAGAAGGCTGCCAGGCTACCCAAGGCAAGGGCGCGTTAGAGAGCTCTGCTAGCTGATAGCCCGGAGATGCTGAAGAGATTAGAACTTCCTCATTGGCCAATTGGGGTCAGTTTCATTTCTCCCAGAGCACCAGTCTGACGGTGACTCTTCCTCCAGAGTTGGAGGTGGAGAGAGGACAAGCTATAAAGAAAAGCAAACACAGCCAGGCGGTGGTAGTCCATGCCTTTAATCCCAGCAATGGATTATCAAAGGTAGGCGAGTCTCTAGTTCGAGACCAGCCTGATCTACAGAGCAAGTTCCAGACCAGAGCTGCCTCAAATAAAAGAAAAAGAGAGAAAGATAGAAAGAAAAGCAAACCCTATCCAGAAGGGAAGGGGTATCATCCAGTCCTTCAAAACCTCCTCATCCCTCCAGCCCTGCCCAGTGAGAGAGGAAGCACATAGCAGGCACGGTGGCTCAAATCTATAATCCCAGCACTAAGGAAGCTAAGCCAGGAAAATCACAAATTTGAGGTCAGCCTTGGCTACATAGCAAGACCTTGTCTCGTCAAAACAAAACAGAAATCTCGAGAAGAAGCAAAGATCACTTGAGCATTTTAAAGTAACCACGTTGTTGGCTGGTTCTCCCTTGGCCAGTCAATGCCCTGCAGGATTTTATGGCAGGACATTTGGGTGCCAGAGTCACCATAATTCCTGCTATCGGCCAATGAGATGAAAATCCTGATTCCAGAAGAGCCTTGTCCTTTCGCCTTGACTGTGAGGAAGAACAAAGATCTGAGTTCAGCTCCTATTAATGCCTTGGTCAAGAAATCCTGTGACCGAAGCTGACCTAAATCACCAAGTTGTTTCAGGAAGCAGATGGAGCATAAATAATACATGAACGACCAAATGATCAGTCATTTCTGTAAGACACACCCTCCTGGCAGAAACAGGGTAAAAAAGTGGCAGAAACAGGGTAAAAAAGTGACCGCACCGCCTTCACCACAGCAGAGCAAAGCCGTGAAGGGAGCAGGACACACAGCTGATCCCGTCTCCAGTCTTTGGGTATCCTTATTAATAGTCAGAAGGTTTTCTCCAGTGGTCCTGAAGGAACATTAGCCAATCTTACTATTGGGTTCGAGTCCAAGGCCTGCCTGATTGACAAGAAACTGAGTTCAGGGTCAGTCTGGGCAATGCAGCAAAAGCCTGTTCCAAAACCAACGGCTGAGCTTCGGCTTTCTCAACACTTGGTTCTTGTCTCAGGCTTCGGCTCAGCCTGCCCTCCTACGGGACAGTTAGGAATGCGGGGCAAC